CCCCCCACCCCCACCCCCATGTTTCCTACTTTCTCACCTTATTTGTTGTAGTGTAAATTATATACATCTAGATCTCTACATCTTAATCTATGCGGTGCTGCCTTTGCTGAAACAGTGCTGTAAATATCAAGCTTAATCTACGTCTGGCTGTGGGAAGTTCTGATAGTCGAAGGGTCAGCGTGTGTGCGTTTGGAGTCATACTTACGAATCCAGGTCAAAGAAGTTTTTTTTTTCTTTTTTTTTAAATCTTTTTTTTTTCTTCTCCTCCTCCCGACTGACTAACAATTTTTTCACATAATTACAACTTATTGCTTCGTAATTTTTTAGGCAGTGATGAAGCATGCACATTCTGGTTTTATCACCAAGAGGAGCTTTTACCTACAAAGTAAAGGCCTACTTATCCTTTTACCAATTTAGGCCTGGTTAAAGTTTAATAGTGGCTTTATTGGTTTATGAGTCTATTTTATTTTTAATTTAAAATTTTAGGGTCAGAGAGGCCAAATTTTCGCTCTTCGATTGCATTTTTTCTTCAGCTTCCGGGTCTCTCTTGCGGTCCCCAGACTCCTGCCAATTGTTCCTACAGTCATTTATTATTCGCCTGTGTGTATGATGTTGCTACAACATAATTATGATAGATAGCACATGTATAGTTTAAATCCCCGCACAACAGCAAACTTTATGTGCTTCAAAATATGTGTATATAATATCACATCTATCTAAATATTTATCTATTTATTAATCTTACCGGTTGACTCACTGCTCCCATTGGAACTGCAGGGTAATTCTGTGGCACGATACCCGGCCCTCCGGCACTGAGGTAGCCGAGTCCCCCTGGAGGGTAGCTCTGTGGAAGAAACATGGTGACATTGTAGAAACATGATGACGTTGTAGAAACATGGTGACATTGTAGAAACATGGTGACATTGTAACAACATGGTGACATTGTAGAAACATGGTGACATTGTAGAAACATGGTGACATTGTAGAAACATGATGACGTTGTAGAAACATGGTGACATTGTAGAAACATGGTGACATTGTAACAACATGGTGACATTGTAGAAACATGGTGACATTGTAGAAACATGGTGACATTTTAGAAACATGGTGACGTTGTAGAAACATGGTGACGTTGTGGAAACATGGTGACGTTGTAGAAACATGGTGACATTGTAGAAATATGGTGACATTGTAGAAACATGGTGACATTGTAGAGCGGGGGAAATGACGCTAACATAACCTTCATCATTGTAAGACAAAATTGTAATGAAGGAATAGAAGGAAAAAGACAACACTGCAATAATATTACAACAGTGAGCGATTCCTGGGACTCAAGCAGTGCAAGCGGCCATGTTTAGGCGTTAAAACATTAACATGCTGACAAGATCTTTCGCTGTCTATGGCCGAGTATCCATTCCCACTTTGGTGAAGTGAGGAAAATTCACGTGGAGTGCCTTTCACAAGGACACAACGTCGGGCCCGCGACTCGAACCCCCGAACTCACAATCTGACGATTACGAGTCAGATAGTCTAACCACTAGGGAACCCTCACCATACCGACATCAATTGTAGAACTTTGAGGACACAATTCTCAAATATACAAAACAAAGAATGTATTTCTCTTTATCTTCTCTTTCTCTTTAGATTTCAGCCAACACCCCCCTCATATCCCGTGTGTCACGATGTGGTGGAATCAGCCGCTCGTCAATATCAGGGCATATGGGGTTATTAGTATCCTCTTAAAGCATGTTCATTAATTGTCTTGCTTTCAATTTTTTTAAAAACCCATTGATCTTCAAAAGAAATAGAGATATTGTGGACTGAAGAAGGTGGGGATGATTTGGTTTCAGAGATAAAATTAGCTAGAAAATGGCGGCCAAATCTTGGTAATTTTCGAAGCTGGAGAGTCCATGGAAACTGTAAAGTTACATTTTGTGTTTTTAATCAACGTATTCGGTAAAATCCTATTAGTAATTTGTTTCTATAAGGACATGAAAGGTGTTGAGCCAAAAACATTTGACAAAAACTGCCAAGCGGGAAGAAAAATGCTGTTTTCTTCGATATCAGTATTTTGACGAGCGTCTGATTTCATCAAGAAACCTCACAAATTAAATGTTCTTTTAATTCGTTTGAAGACGTGAGAACACGCCCCTCCCCCTACTCCCCCTAACCCAACCCCCTCCTAAAAACAAGAAAGAAAGTAAAAGAAATTTCACGGCCAAACCATCAATATTTGGTCGCTTTTAAGAACAAGGGGTCTATCCCGAAAAATGCAGTTTTGAGAAAGTCGAAGGTAAAGTTTTTGCTCTTTTGCAGTATCTTTAAAACAACAAAAGAGTTATCTTTATAACCAAGCAAATACACACACCAATGAAACCAAACTTCTCCTATAGGTAGGGCAATACCCATGTTTGGAGTATGTCAATTTGTAAGGATTTACGGCGCTCGCAACTGCATAATGTCATATTATGAGCACCAAGGGGTGGATATCAACAGAGAAGTCCAAATGTGGAATCAGGCTTACTCTGCTCACCTCTCTAGCCTCAACAGCACAAAGTCTGCTTCGACTATCGATGCACCCCGGAAATAGCAGTTCACAAGGGAGTGACAAACATACAAAAGAAGTAGAGGAAAATGACGATAGAAAGGATAAGGAAAGAAAAAGCAGAAATTCTCCGTATGTTGTTCCGGCACAGTATGAGCATGACCATTGATAAATCAGCCCCTTTACAATTTTACTGTGCATAAGAGTAACATGTTAATATCCCCCATTTGGGAAAGGCCGAAAGACGTTCTCAGTGAGACCAAAAAGATTCTGTGAAGGGCAAACGAATTCAGGGGGGGCTTTCGTGGTCTAGAGGCTAAGGTATTCGCCTCTCATTTAATCGGTCTCGAGTTCGAATCCGGATATCGACGGGGATTTTTCATCTCTAAATTGTCTCCTTTCACCTCCTTTCCTGCTCTCAAACAACCTTCTGTTGTCTTTGTTCGGCTCCTTTTTCTGCACCCACTCCCTCACCTCGCTGGGCTTCTGACTCTTTCTGTAGCTTTTCTACAGCTTTTCCTTGGTTCCCTCTTACTGTTGTCTTTCAGCCACACCCCTGATCTTATGGTAGGAAAGATCTACACCTAGCCTTCTCGGACAATGGGAACTTTCTCGGAGGTCCCGTGTGCATGATGAGTACGTAAAAAGATCCCTTAGTGGTCAAAAATCGACAAGAGTAGGCTTCGGCCGCCACCCGGCAAAATTCAAAATTTCATACCAACTGAAAATGTTGTTTAATGTGCCCTGCGCGCACATATGAACTTATAAAGTTGCGAGCACCGTAAAACATTTACCAAAAACAACAACAACAACAACAACAACAAACAAAAAACCAACGAATTCTTCTCTACATTATCTTACCAAGGAAAGAGGATGTGGCAGGTAATAACATAAGTCTCCAATTGTTGGTGTTGGTGGGGCGAGTAGCTGGGACGTCCAGATGGGGGCGGGGCGCAGGACGACGTCTTGTGGGAGATATCTGCGCAGTGGTGCTGGCACGCTTGGATATGACAGGTCCTGGTTTGTTGGGGGGTAGGTGGGACTATGGTTTGTAGAGGAGATTGACCTATTCGTGTGTCTGGATAAGTCGATGGCGACCAGGGGTGTGTTATCGGTGGCGGACCGATGTACCCGATCATGGTTCAGCGAAAGATCCACGGGTTGGTCCTGCTCCCCCGACTGTCCATAAGTCTGAAATGTAGAAGGCAAGCTTGTTGACGAGAATGTATTAAAATAACAACAAACAAAGTAGATGTCATGCTTTTGCATTGTTATAGATTAACGTCACAAGAAACTATAGGCCAAATATTCGCTACATTAGAATTACAACGTTCTATCTGACATTTGTGGCAGGTTTTTTTTCTTGTTTTGTTTTTGTTTCTTTTATGTTTGTTTGTTTTGGGTTTTTTTTTTAGTTACTGAGACCATGATGTCAGAAACCAAATTATGATTTTAATCTGATCAGTCAAAATCGTAAGATTATTCCGAGTCGTTATCAAGATATTCAAGAAATAGCATTCTGAAAGCCATGACATATTGTGAAACTCGAATTTTTTACGTCCAATTTTTCAAAGGAAGAGGCTAGCCGTACTTAGTAACGGCTAGACGGCTGGGCTAGGCGTACTTAATAATGATGACTAGACTGGCATACAGCAAAAAATACGCCTACTGAACTGTTTATACTGTTTTAGTTTGCAATATCTAAAGTATTTGCATTTGATACGGAACCAAAATGTGCCTTGCTGACAGTGCATGTTTCTTGAACATGAATGATTAAAAATATGAGACCTGTGTACTCAACAGGTTCCATAGGGCCTAAAATAAGTACGGCTAGACTGGCATGGTTAGGTTGCAAATACAATTTTAGTTTGCAATACCTAAAGTATTTGCATTCCAGACGAAACTAAAAGGTGCCTTACTGACATGCATGTATTTTAAACCTTAATAATTACGAGATCTAATGAGACATGTGTACTCAACAGGTTTCGGTCAATAGGGCCTTACCTAGATCTAAACGGCTAGGCTAGGCGTACTTTAAGGACGGCTAGCCACTTCGTTGTTCAAAACTAGGTACCGAGCAGATAGAAATATGTCGTTCTAGGGTAGCGAAATGTTCACGGAGTAGACTCTTGTGTCCTTCCTCCCCACCATGAGGTAAACACATTGGTTGTATTATTTGTGAGGCTCTTCTTTTTTTCATTTTTTTTTCATCCTCTGTTGCCGTTAAGCGTCGAGGGGAGATGCAGTTTTCTATGGTAGCCCAGCCTGCCCCCCCCCCTCTCTCTCTCTCTCTCTCTCTCTCTCTCTCTCTCTCTCTCTCTCTCTCTCTCTCTCTCTCTCTCTCTCTCTCTCTCTCTCTCTTTCTCTCTCTCTCTCTCTCTCTCTCTCTCGCTCTCTCTCTCTCTTTCTCTCTCTCTCTCTTCCTCTCTCTCTCTCTCTTCCTCTCTCTCTCTCTCTCTCTCTCTCTCTCTCTCTCTCTCTCTCTCTCTCTCTCTCTCTCTCTCTCTATTTGTCACACACCCATACGTGTTCTTTTTCTCACTTTAAAAAAAATCCCATACTCCCTTACAAAAAACAAACAATCAATATTTGTGGTGTAACGATCAGGCGCTTCACTGTCACATTCGGGAGACTTGAGTTCGGTTCCTAAGCATACAGACTTTCTTTTGAGTAGCTGGGTCTTTCTGCTGGAATGTGATATTCCTCTTAGCCCGGGTTAGCTCTGACAATGACAGGCAGGGTCGAAAGCCTGCTTCCTAAATGCTCTAAATCGTGCAAATAGACGGGTAAGAAAACACTTGCATTACCACAAAAAACACACACAAAAAGCGACCAACAAACAAACACATGCTAAAAACCCCACCACACACACACACACATCAAGATAAATGCACAGGCAAACCAGGGAAAAAAAACAAAAACAACCTGAAATGTGTACAAAATTGAACACAACTTCTGGGAGGATACTGAATGGGCATACAAAAAAGACAAAACTGCCCTAAAATAAAGATCAGTGAGAAACACGATACAGTTTCACCAAACACAAAAGCAAGTGTGGTGGTTCCGTTGATGAAAACATTCAAACGGGCTTTTGGATCGAATGAAAATAGTAATGGTGATCATTTTTTTTTTTTTTAATGTTGAAAATTCCATACAGTGCGGCAATCTCTGACTGAAAATTGACGTCATTGTCACTATTTTTAGTACCGGGGATATATTTTGTTCAAAACAAACTAAGATTTACAAAATGGGGCGTCATTTGTCCTGCTTCATAACTAAACTGTCAGAAACACTTCATTCGAGATTGTTTTACGATTTGGAAGAGGAGAAGTTTGCGGTTGCAACGATACTAAACATGTTAGGGTCACGTGGAAACACGTTGTTGTCGTCACCGTCTAATTATAGGCTTATTTGGGGCTCATTTGATGAAAAAATGGGCCCTACTTTGAAGAAGGTACCCTAAAAAAATTTCCCTAAAAACGATTTTAAAAAATATTTTCTAATGGTATATGTTCCTAAGATATTTAGGTACTCGAAAATATAAAAAGTTAAAAATCAATATTTTGACCCATTCATTGTATTTTGAAGACCCGCGCCTTACTTTAAGTCATCTAAAAAAACAAAAAAACAACAGCAACCAAGAAGTGTAACCAGTATTTATAAAAACTGTTACACAGTATAACAAAGTGAGTTTTTGTATCGTATTTCAAAAATTTTATGAATCTTTCCAAGTAAATACTGTAGTTAGACAAAGCTGCAAGCTATCCCCTCTACTTTTTGGAATTGTAATTGCCTTTAGAAAGAGAATAAACCAAGATGTCATATCAAAGCGGGATTTAGAAGGACACTTGGCACACATTTGGGAGATTTAGATACTGCGAATAGCATTGGCTAGTAAATACCACAGTGCAGGACATGCAATAATTTTTTTTTTTAACTGATGAAGTAGCAAGATCTGCGTAAAAAAGTAAGTCTTGTAACAAATGTACCATAACAGAAGTTCTGTGATTATCACTAGAAATTACAACCCCATCACTCTTTATGGAAAACCTCTAGAGATATTAATCAATTAAATTACATTTAACAAATATATTTTTGAGAATATCGTATCTATGTGTTACCGTTGATGAGTATTAAAGAAAGATCACATTTTGACAATATCATATCTTATTGTTACCGTTGATAAACATTTAAAAGAGCCCATTTTTGACAAGATCATATATAATTGTTACGGTTGATAAACATTTAACAAAGAGCCCATTTTTGACAATAACCATATCTAATTGTTACCTTTGATAAGTATTTAACTAAAAGCTCATTTTTGACAATATCATATATCTAATTGTTACCGCTGACAAATATCTAACAAAAAGCTCATTTTTGACATTAAAAACTTCGACAATGTTCTCTTGCTCCCCACGGGAAGGAGGAAATAAGATTCAGAGAAAGATGACGTGGGGGAAGGGGGATAAGAAATCTGCCATCTCCACCAAAAATAATTTCACGACCAAATGTCCTCGTTTCTTCGTATTTAATTTTGATTTTTACACAAACTCCCTTTTAGTCCGCTAAAATTTTACACCTTAACTCTAGGCCACGAGAGCCCCCTTTTAGTTGGTGTTCGTATGACAAGCATTTTGCATCCTTCTGAATTAAAAAAAAAAACACCCCAAAAAACTATATTTATTTTTTAAGGGTGTTGGGGGGTGAGGGTGAGGGGGGGGGGGGGTATTTTGTTATTCTAAAAATGTATTTGCTTATTTTACTTTATTTTATTTTTACTATTTTTAAAAACCTAATTTTTTCCCTTTTTTAGGTGGAGGGAGGGTTATTGCCATCAACGTAAAAAAGTCTACTCGTGTTCTGTTTAAAACAACTGGTTGTTTGAATGAACAAACACTGCTGTTATCGTCACAATCAAGGCTTGTGTTATGTTCACAGAATAGTAATATAGATTCTGTGTCTTTCGTCGGGAAAGTAAGCTATCACAATATGTAATATAAAACATCACAAATACCAAACACAATTGATATACAATATTATATTTATATATAATAGTCACTTCCCATCAAAAAAATATGAATTTACATAATAATTATTATTATTCACAAGTTTCATCATCATTGCTGCCATCATAATTTAAACAATATTGCACATGCTGTTGTTGTTTTGAACAGAGAATGTATATCAAAATTATTTACACTGTGATATATACTGTTTCAATAACGTATTGTTCTTTTGGAAAAGGAAAAAGGCTATTTTTCAACGTCATTGGACTATTTCAATTGTTTAACTTTTTTTTTTCGAAGAAAATAATTATAGTATTATGTTCAACAAACACAAGTCTCTGCTTTGATGATATGAACATTGCCTGTTGAACAAAACTTTTGAAGCATTCTATCATTTTTTTTTTCACAACAGCGGCCACGATTTGACATTTCCCAACAAGACCCACGGTGTTTGGATCTGACGATGAAAAGTCAATGACAAGAGCAATTCAGTGTGCTTTTCCTAACTGCAGCCTGGCATTGTGCACTTTTCATTTGAACCCCCCCCCCCACCCAAAAAAAACAAAAAACAACCAACGTAGCCAGATATTTGAAGAATAAAGTTGGCGTTGCTTCCAGACAAAGGAACATTCTGATAAATCAAATTTTTGGAGATGACGGGCTTTCAGACTCATTAGAAGAGGTCACGTTTGATATGAGAATGGAAAACCTGAAAATTTTGTGGCCGGAATAAGACACGTCTTTTGGTCACACGTACAGCTAATTGACATACAATACTTAATGCAGACTGTTGTCGACTGATGCCGACCGTCGCCGACCGTCATTTCAAACGACCGAGAATTTTGTACAGTATTTAGGTAGCCATTTTCTTATATTATGTATCTTACTAATGACACACATCTATAAAAAAAAGAAGAAAAATCACCTCAGAGGGGGGGTGTGCAAAAACTGGCTTACTTTTATTGATGACAAAAAAGGGGGGGGGGAGGAGGGGGAATCGACTCTTCATATGGGGTGGAATGGAGGAGGTGCAAGAACTCGCTTCAAGTTTGTGATATTTGTAGTTTTAGTTAAAGTTTTACTACTCTTGCAACATAATAAGATCATATAACCCTCCCAACCTTTTTTTTTTTGGGGGGGGGTGTATCTGCGTCGCCTCCCTTTTTTGGGCGAATATGTTTT